CACTGGGCTATGCCTACTCTCAAGAAAAGGGATACAGCCAGGGAATCTTCAAGGTAAAGGCTCAAATCAAGCGGTTTGCATTACTAGTCTGAAACTGTTCCATCATTTACTTTTCTAACTTGCTTTCTTTCTGCACAGGACAAGAAAGCAATGCTGTCCTTCACCACTGGGTCTCATGAGTCCATGTTTAGTGCAGATGGTATTAATGGAGACATGAATGTCACACTGTGGCCACTACACGTACTGAATCAGAATATTGCTTCAACTCGGCATTAAAGATCCAGAGTGTTGTCTCTCTGTCTCTCTCTGTGTCTCTGTGTCTCTGTCTCTGTCTGTCTCAAAACTAACTTGTTTTGGCTAGCGTAGAATGAGACCTTCATATCTAAAGAGGTAGTCGGGCCTTTGAGTTTGTTGTTTATACTGTAGCCCAGAAGGGACAAATGTAACACTGATTCTACATGTTGTAACTTTACTGATGGTTACCCCTAAATCAACCCTTTGCTCGGGGTTTTTTTTTTTTTTTTTTTTGTATATAAAAATAAATGAGCTGTTAAACATAACATTTTACCTTAAACACTGTTTCTCTCTATCCAGAATGGCATCCTGCACTACTGTGGCTTCCAGGTTCTGGTCCCTCAGATCTTCTGGGCTCCGTCTCATGTTTCCTCTGAGGAGTGCAGCACCATGCTGGAGGGCTGGCGTACCCGACTGCAAGGTGTCCTGGGTGAAAAACCACTTTCCTTCACTCCCATGGACTGCTTTGATGGGGAGAAGGGTTTCCAGCTGAAGCCTGAGGTCCATGAGAAAAATGCCGCCGAGGAGTATGGACTGACGGTTGGGACCCACCTGGGAAAGGCACTACCACCCAACAACCAGATGAAAGCTGGAGTCTGAAGACATTGGCGCTTCTGTATTTCCTTGCATGACAGAAAAATAAAGGCTGACTTGAATTATATTGACTTCTATTGCATAAGTTTTTGATGCATATACACTTCATGGTTCAAATATAAAGGGCAGGGTTCTTGTACTGGGTTTTCTTTGCATGTAAAAGTGGCAGAGCCAAGAAACTATGTAAAGGACTCTTTAGTGCCAGTTTTTCTGCCTTGCAAAGTGAAATTTGTCTGTCTTTAGAATTTCTGATGAAAGCAGATTTCTGTTTTTTCACTGGGTTATGATAGTTGCCTGACAAATGCCTGGTATGTATTTCAAAAACTCTTCGGTCTCTGCAAGATCTTCCTCCAGCTGATGAACAACTTGACTGACTTTTAATTTGTAACCCTGTCAGGCAGCAGTGCTGAGGGTGCGCCAGAAGTATGACGGTAAATCCCGGTGCTGTGTTTACTTTTGGTCATTCGCGTGATTAGATCGGTGACATTAAGCTGTTAAAGACTGCAGTTTGTATGCTTTACAGCGATTCTGCTCTGCCAATGAACGGCCACAATTCATGACTCGCCATCTGGATGGCTATTACTCACTTTGCCCCTCAAGCTCTGGCAGATATACAAAAACTGTAAAACAAACCATCAAACCAATCCCTTTACGGGAAAAGATACTGGGCACAGTTAACCTATAGTAGGAAAATGGATTGACTTTCAAAAGGCTCCTCGGCACAGATGCCAAAAAGGCACTTGTCATGCACCCCATCGCCACCTTGCCTCTTTTCAGTGACTTATTTCAGGTCAACCAAATGCTGCACCTCAAGTTCAGTATTCTGTCCATGCTGAAGATACAGAGAACCATTCTCACAGGTATTATGCAAGAAACTATAGGATGCTGTACAAACTTTTCGAAAAGAACCATCTCAGGAAACCTGTTATGCTCATATCTGTTCTGCCTACAATATTTGAATGTATTTTGATATAGGTCTTTGGCATCTTAAGTCTGCATAAAGCAGCTGCTTGAACAAAATAAACAATGAAAATGCAAACTGGATCAGATGTGGCATCCTTACTCAACTTAGATTCTTAGTATGAAAGGACTCTGCAGATGAGGAACAAAAAAGACAAGAATGGGATATCCCTACTTTTGAATGAGCCCAGTCTTTTTCCATCAAAAAATGTTGACAAGAGTCACAACGGACACCCTGGCATAGGGGCCTCTTGACCCGTTAGGCCCCTGGTAGGCCATTGGAAATCCCTCTGTGGACATGTTAGTGTTGTCCTTGTCAATGTTACGATAAACAATGTATTATTTTACTTCCGTAGAATCTGCATACTGTTGCAACATATCCTAAGGTGCAGTAAATATAAGCATTCTGTTTAAAATTTGTACACATATATAAAGGATCAAATAATTGTATTTTCTCACAATGGCCATGAGATGGCACTGTAGGCTACATTTTCAAGTCATTACCCAGCCTTTATCATAATTATAAACAAGCTAAAAGCCACTATCTATATGTGCCTTTTTAATGTCCCTATGTACTCCATAGCTGCAATTGTTGTGGTTTTGTGTAAAGGAGCTGCTAAAGGTGGGCTGCAGATGTTCTGTCAAACCTTTAGTAGCACACACCAAATATCTGACACACAAGCAGAAAGTTTGAAACATACTTGGGAATACTTCATGCAAAGTTGCGACAAATAACTCTGGGATCATGTTGCTCTATAGATCGCAAACCATGAAAACAAACCTCATGGCAAAATTACATAATCCCTTCCCGTCACAACAGAGAGAATACGGCCGGATGTTCAATATTAAACTCAACTAGTGTGGTGATGGTAAAACAAAAAATAGAGAAGCCACAGAGACAAAATGAGAAGGCCTCTTAAAAATCCAGAATGCTTCAACATGTTATGTTTGAAAAAATGCCTCTATTGATGTGGCAAACACCTACCAACCCTCGAACCTAAATTTCAATAAGACAGAAAAATAAGAGACAATGGGAAGAAAGTCAGTTGACAATGAGTATCCATAAGTCTCACTCATGCGGCATGCTTGCACGCATGGACGCTATATGCTAATAGGTAGCAGTTGTCCATTAACCCCTCATCCTCAAAGTGGCTGAAACTCAGGGCTGATTTTGGTCCCAGATGTGTGCCAGCTCATGCCTTTGATGTCCATCGCCGAGTCTTTTTTCTTTTTTTTACAGGGCAACATTGATGAGTGCGCTCCATCGCAGGCAACTTTTTCTTTCGAGAAAAGTAATGTTAAGGATAACAGAGCTGGAAACAGTAGAGTGAGAGGATCACTGAGCCACATCTGCTTCATGTGGTTCGAAGACATCAGGACTGGCACACAATTTTTAAACATCTTAAACATAGACAGACAAAGGCAGACATGCACGCTCTTAAATATCCACAAGTTTACTGTGTAAAAGACACAAAAACAAAGACATTAACAAACCTACGCTCCGTCTCTTTCTGGCTAGGCTGAAATGGGGAAAACACACACTGCCATAGAAGATGTAGGTCTCAGAGTATTATTGTAAGTTTATCCTGTGTTTAAAACAGGAAAAATCTGTAGCTGGTTTCACTGATGAAAACCTCCATATTTCTTGGCTTTTAGTGGTTCATAAATTCCACTCCCCATTTAAAAATGCTGTCCAGGGTCAGTAAAAGATATGTTGCTGTGTTGATGAGAGTTCTGAGAGATGCCAGGTGATTGGTTAATGACCTTGATTGCTGATTGACAGCACCTGTGAGGAGGCTGTGTGTTGAGTCTTGTGGTGTATAAAACAGCATCTTGACTGTTGTTGACTGACCTGCTCTCTCATTCAACACAGCAGCTAGCTGTAAAGTTGCAGCTGACATCTGTATTCAGAATGGGTGAGTTATCAACTATGTGTTCTTGTATTTGCTGAGGGATTTGGCAGTATGTGTCATGTTCTGAGTAATGTTGGATCTCATGAACTGTAGTGTTTCAGTGGTGAGATTTCTGATCTGATGTGTGCTCATTTCCAATCTCTAATCTTTGGTTTAGCTGCGAAGAAAGTGTTTATCGTGTATGCCCACCAGAGCACTGGCTCGTTCAATGCTGCAGCCAAAGATGCTGCTGTGGAAGTTTTAGCAGGTCAGGGCTGCACAGTTGAAGGATCGGACCTGTACGCCATGAAGTTTAAAGCCACTGCTACTGCTGAGGACATCATCGGTATATCAATATCTCCCTGGCATTAGAAGAAGTTTAGCTTTATATTGAACTTCAGAATTAAATCAAATGTGTTTGTCTCGGCAGGAGAAGTCAAGAATGCCGATCACTTCCGTTATGCAGAGGAGATCAAACTGGCAAGGGAGGAAGGAAGACTGTGCTGAAATCACTGAGGAACAAGCAAACTCACTGAGGCGGACCTCATCATCTTTCAGGTAGAGGCTTGATGACAGTAATGCTTGTTCGTTAAGCTGCTCTTAGCTCAAAGCTAACACTTTGCCTTACTTCTCAGTTCCCCATGTACTGGTTCACTGTTCCTGCCATCATGAAGGGCTGGATCGAGCGGGTGCTCACACTGGGCTATGCCTACTCTCAAGAAAAGGGATACAGCCAGGGAATCTTCAAGGTAAAGGCTCAAATCAAGCGGTTTGCATTACTAGTCTGAAACTGTTCCATCATTTACTTTTCTAACTTGCTTTCTTTCTGCACAGGACAAGAAAGCAATGCTGTCCTTCACCACTGGGTCTCATGAGTCCATGTTTAGTGCAGATGGTATTAATGGAGACATGAATGTCACACTGTGGCCACTACA